CTATCATGGCGTAACCTCCACTTCCCAGGCTCAAGTCATCCTCCCACTTCAGCCTCCCAAGTAGCTGGGAGAATTACTGTCATTGGCTCACTGCATCTTCTAATTCCTGGGCTCAGGTGATCCTCCCACCTCAGCCTCCCGAGTAGCTGCCACCATTCCTGCTAATTTTTTTGTATTTTTTTTGTGGAGACAGGGTTTAGCCATGTTGCCCAGGCTGGTCTCAAACTACTGGGCTCAAGTGATCCACCTGCCTCTGCCTTCCAACATGCTGGAATTATAGGTGGAGCCACCACACCCAGCCAGTTGTGGCTTTCTGAACTTCAGGAAGCTCTGTTACAGGAAGAATAAATGAAGGCCAGCCCTTTTCACACTTCTTTTTACAAGTCTAAGTGATTCCCTAGGATAACTATAGCTCATATGCACAACTGCCTGCCTTGCTTCTTTGGGTGCAGAGTATGGGAGTGGCATGTCCATCAGATGTTCTTCAGATGCTACTGTGGCTACTGGTTATGCTTCAGTAGGTAAATCACAACTATGCATTAATGTGCAATTCTCTGCATTTCACACAGCAGTCTTTGGTGATTTTCTCACGTTTGTGTGACCATGATGCTTACTCACATTTCCCTGGACAACTTCCTGAAGGCCATGTAGCTGTTCAATGAAGCTGTTCATTTGGCCAAGCGTTTAATATGTAACTTTATACCATCTTCCTCAATTAAACTGAAAATTTAAAATAACTATTGACTTGACTAAAAGCAAATATCCTAAGGGATTAGTATAACTATTTAAAAAACATTTTTTTTGGCCGGGCGCAGTGACTCACGTCTGTAATCCTAACACTTTGGGAGCCCAAGACAGGCGGATCACCTGAGGTCGGGAGTTCAAGACCAGCCTGACCAACACAGTGAAACCCCGTCTCTACTAAAAATACAAAAAATTAGCTGGGCGGTGGCGCTTGCCTGTAATCCCGGCTACTCGAGAGGCTGAGGCAGGAGAATCACTTGAACCTGGGAGGCAGAGGTTGCAGTGAGCAGAGGTCACGCTTTTGCAGTCCAGATTGGGTAACGACAGCGAAACTCCGCTTCAAAAAAAAAATAAAATTTTTTTGGGGGTGACAGAGCAAGAATCTGGAATGCAGTGGCACGACCTCAGCTCACTGTAAGCTCTGCCCTTGGGTTCAGGCGATTTCTCCTTCCTCAGCCTCCTTATTTAGGACTACAGGCACTCATCACCATGCCCGGCTAATTTTTGCATTTTTAACAGGAGTGTGGTTTCACCACATTGGCCAGGCTGGTCTCAAACTCCTGACCTCAAGTGATCTGCCTGCCTTGGCCTCCCAAAGTGCTGGGATTACAGGTGTGAGCCACCATGCCCAGCCCACTACAACTAATTTAATGTATCCCATTTTGAAATCTTTATTCATTAGCTTTTAATCAACAAAATAATCCTATTTAAGCTACATATCTAACCATGTGGTATAGACATACAGTGGAGTACTACTGAGCAATAAAAAGCAATGAAGTACAATACTGTACTGATACATGCTACATGGATGAACCTTGAAAATACTATGCTCAGTGAAAGCAGCCAGTCATAAAGAACCACATATTTCTTACCATATTTGTATGAAATATCCAGAATAGGTAAATCTACAAGGACAGAAAGTAATGGCTAAGCACGGTGGCTCATGCCTGTAATCCCAACACTTTGGGAGGCAGAAGCTGGCGGATCACCTGAGGTCAGGAGTTCAAGATCAGCCTGGCCAACGTGGTGAAATCCCATCTCTACAGAAATTTTTTTTTAAAGTTACCCCGGCATGGTGGCGTCTACCTGTAGTCCTAGCTGCTTGGGAGGCTGAGGTGAAAGAATTGCTAGAACTCGGGAGGCGGAGGTTGCAGTGAGTTAAGATCATGCCATTGCACTCCAGCCTGGGTGACAGAGCGAGGCTCCGTTTAAAAAAAAAAAAAAAAAAAAAAAAAGTAGCTTAGTGGTTGCCTAGGGATGAGGGTAATGGGGACTTTCCAGGAAGAACCCAGGAACAATGTGTGAGCTCAGTTAGGGGTTCAGCAGTGCTTCCTGAGAGGAACCTGCTGTGCTTCTCAGATGCCCTAGGCCCATCCTGGAAGGACTCACTCCAGAATAGGTTTTGAGTAGCAGATCTATTTCCAGCCACACATCCTTAATAGACTTCTTCCTCTGCTGAACAGAGTCATGACACTTCTTACTTCTTACAGCAGTGAACAGCCTCAGGAGCTCTGTTCTGTCCAGAATTCCAATAGCTAACGCCTTACAATAAATAAAAGTTATAGAAAAAATAGTAAGACTTGATTAGCAGGCTCAAGTCCACACACTGATTTAGAAGACAGAGGCAAATCAGTTCCACAAAAGGAGGCTTCCCCTCCTTTATTGACAGGTGCCCCCGTCTATCTATAGTATCCACAGACTGTGAGAAGCAATCAGCTTTGACAGTCCATGTGAGGATTTTTTTTTTTTTTTTTAAAGACAGAGTCTCTCACTCTGTCACCCAGGCTACAAGTGCAGTGGCATGATCTCAGCTCACTACAGCCTCTGCCTCCTGAGTTCAAGCAATTCTCATGTCTCAGCCTCCTGAGTAGCTGGGATTGCAGGCATGGATCACTATGCCCAGCTAACTTTTTTTTTTTTTTTTTTTTTTAAATTTTGAGACACAGTCTCACCCTACAGCCCAGACTGGAACGCAGTGGTATCATCTCGGCTCACTGCAACCTCTGCCACTTGCATTCAAGTGACTCTCCTGCCTCAGGTTCCTGAGTAGTTGGAATTACAGGTACCTGCTATCACGCCTGGCTAATTTTTGTAGTTTTAGTAGAGCTGGGGTTTCACCATCTTGGCCAGGCTGGTCTTGAACTCCTGACCTCGTGATCCACCTGCCTCAACCGCCCAAAGTGTTGGGATTACAGGCATGAACCACCACTCCTGACCTTAATTTCTGTAATTTTAGTAGACATTGGGTTTCACCATATTGGCCAGGATGGTCTTGACTCCTGACTGCAAGAATTCCACCCACCTCGGCCTCTCAAAGTGTTGGGATTATGGTGTGAGCCACCACACCTGGCCTCATGTCAGGATTTAATTCACACCTTACCTGAGATGTTAATCAGTTTGAACTAGTCAACATGTAAAAGGAAAATACAGATGGTAACAAAAGTTAGGCTGGAAAAACACATGGCTTAATCTTCTGTCTAGGATTCCAAGGAAAATTTACAAATTTTGATAGTGTGACACAAGAGAAGTTGAAAAAACCTATTTCAGAAGAGGTCAAAGGAATCATGGATATTAATATAAAAGATTAGGGGGCCGGGCGTGGTGGCTCTTGCCTATAATCCCAGCATTCTGGGAGGCCGAGCAGGGTGGATTACTTGAAGTTAGGAGTTCGAGATCAGCCTAACACAGTAAAACCCAGTCTCTACTAAAAATACAAAAATTAGCCGGGCATGGTGGTACACACCTGTAATCCCAGCTACTAGGGAGGCTGAGGCGAAAAGATCAATTGAACCCAGGAGACAGAGGCTGCAGTGAGGCAAGATCACACCACTGCCCTCCAGCCTGGGTGACAGAGTGAGCCTTTCAAAAAAAAAAAAAGAGTGGTTTGTGTGAGGCTGATCAGGGGCAATAAGAATTTGTGTCAAGGGACATGTGGTCCCAACTGATCTTGAAGCTGAGCCTGTCCCAAAAAAAAAAAAAAAAAAAAAAAAGTCCAGCACAGTGTCCCACACTTGTAATCTCAGCACTCTGGGAAGCCAAAGCAGGTAGATCGCTTGAGCCCAGGAGTTTGACACCAGCCTAGGCCATAAGATGGAACCCCCACCTCTACAACAATTAGCCAAACATTGTGGTGTGCACCTGTGGTCTCAGCTACTCGGGATACTGAGGTGGGAGAATCGATTTAGCCTGGAAGGTCGAGGCTGCAGTGAGCCGTGATCATGTCACTGCATTCCGTCCATCCTGGGTAACAGAGTGAAGCTCTCTCTGAAATGAAAAGTTGAGACAAGGCCACTGGGCCTGGCAAGGAGAAGATCAGCGTTACACTGCAGTAGTGGGGTAGTAGAGTGACTAAGATGAAAGTGTAAAAGATAGATGGAAGCACTTAGAATTTATTTTTTAAATACATGATTTTTTTTTTTTTTTTTTTTTTTTTTTTTAAGACAGAGTCTTGCTCTGTCACCCAGGCTAGAGTACAGTGGCGCTGTATCGGCTCACCGCAACCTCCACCTCCCGGGTTCCAGTGATTCTCCTGCATCAGGCTCCCGAGTAACTAGGATTACAGGTGTGTACCACCATGCCTGGCTAATTTTTTTTATTTTTAGTAGCGATGGAGTTTGACCATATTAGCCAGGCTGGTCTCAAACTCCTGACCTCAAGTGATTCACCTGCCTCAGCCTAGAGAAATGAGAAAATTTTCTCTAATGAAGAATAATGAAAAAGTCACCTCTAACAGTTCAACAAAGCAAAGACAAATAGAAAGCTGCTCAAATTCTGGCACCTGCATAATTCACTGAGACATTTCAATGATAAAATTGATTAGGTATCTTCTCTCTCTACACACACACACACACACACACACACACACACACACACCCCATTAATTACTGTGCCCCACTGCCTACAAAGTTGGCTTTAGTAATCAATTGTAATCCTAGCATTTTGGGAGGCCATGGTGGATGGACTCCTAGACCAGAAGTTTGAGACCAGCCTGGGCAACATGGCAAAACCCTGTCTCTACAAAAAATACAAAGAATTCACCAGGCATTGTGGCATGGGCCTGTAGTCCCAGCTACTCAGGAGAGTGAGGCAAGAGGATCGCTCAAGCTTGGGAGGTTGAGATTGCAGTGAGTTGGGATCACTCGTTCTTCAAGGTCCATGTCAGATAGCTTTCCCCTTTATAGTCACATGGCTGCCAGTTATAAAGACTACATGTCCTAGCATTAACTGCAGCTAGGTGGGGTATTAAGGTCTGACCAAGGGACTGCACACAGAAAATGATGATGCACGAGAAGGGAGAACTGCCAGAGCAACATTATGAGATTATAGGGGAATGAGATTTAGCTTGTCAAGTGGAAGGGCTGACCATAGGTAGAACAATGGACTCCCAAGGGACTGATCCACAGGAATAGAGGAAGAGGCAGACCACAACAGCCAAATGGAGCTATGTCAATAGATACAGTGATAGACTCTTATTATTACTTCCATTTTTTCAATTAAGTAAGAAGCAAGAGGCCGGGCGCGGTGGCTCAAGCCTGTAATCCCAGCACTTCGGGAGGCCGAGGCGGGTGGATCACGAGGTCAAGAGATCGAGACCATCCTGGTCAACATGGTGAAACCCCGTCTCTATTAAAAATACAAAAAATTAGCTGGGCATGGTGGTGCATGCCTGTAATCCCAGCTACTCAGGAAGCTGAGGCAGGAGAATTGCCTGAACCCAGGAGGCGGAGGTTGCAGTGAGCCGAGATCGCGCCATTGCACTCTAGCCTGGGTAACATGAATGAAACTCCGTCTCAAAAAAAAAAAAAAAAAAAAAAGTAAGAAGCAAGATCATGACAGTTGATACAGGCAAGGAAAGGGAACAGGAGGTTTGAACTAAAGGAGATGATGCTATATTAACCTTAAAGGCGGTAGAATAAATGAACTAAGGAATCTCAGTGGGACTGCTAGGCAGTGCTAAAATCAGCCACCTTTGAGGTCAGGGGTCATGAATTCAAAGTGAGACAAGTCAGTGAATTTCTTCTTTCACTACATTCGGTTATAAGCACATAATAATAGGTAAAGAGTAGGATTTAGGCTGGGCGAGGTGGCTCATGCCTGTAGTCCCAGCACTTTGGGAGGCCAAGGTGGGCAGATCACTTGAGGTGAGGAGTTCGAGACAAGCCTGGCCAACATGGAGAAACCCTGTCTCTACTAAATTAGCCACACATGGTGGTGCGCTCCTGTGGTCCCAACTACTAGGGAGGCTGAGGCACAAGAATAGCTTGAACCCAGGAGGCGGAGGTTGCAGTAAGCCTTGAGATTGCACAACTACACTCCAGCCAGGGTGACAGAGCAAGATTCTATCTTTAAAAAAAAAGTAAGACTTAAACAAGGGCTGAGATTTTTCCAGGTAAGATAAAATAAGAGAGAGGACAGGGAGTTGAGAATATATAAAAGGCAGTAATTACATTAATAAACTGAAGGTGACAAGCAGTGAAAGGGTAGTACTATCAATAGATTTTAAGTGGGGGCTTAAAGGATTTTGCTGTCAGGCCGATCGTGGTGGCTTACGCCTGTAATCCCAGCAATTTGGGAGGCTAAGGTGGGTGGATCACTTGAGGTCAGGAGTTCACGGCCAGCCTGGCTGACTTGGTGAAACCCCATCTCTATTAAAAATACAAAAAAATTAGCTGGACATGGTGGGGGGCACCTGTAATCCCAGTTACTCAGGAAGCTGAAGCAGGAGAATCACTTGAACCCAGGAGGTGGAGTCTGCAGTAAGCCGAGATCATGCCACTGCACTCCAGACTGGGCGACAGAGAGAGACTCCATCTCAAAAAAAAAGAAAAAGAAAAAAAAAAAAAACAAAGAATTTTGCTGTCTGAGTATTAAAAGGATTTAATACTGGGAGCACATGCCTGTAATCCCAGTTATTTGGGAGATTGAGGCAGAAGAATTGATGCCTCAGGAGACAGAGGTTGCAGTTAGCCGAGATTGGGCCACTGCAATCCAGCCTGCATGAGAGAGCAAGGCTCCGTTTCAAAAAAAAAAAAAAAAAAAACAAAAAAACTTGTCTCAGAGATCATTAATGAATGATCTCTGAGATAAGACTATTAAATGAAAAGGGTGAGGTGCCAAGTATGTAATATACTATCATACCATTGTGTAACGGCAGGATATACAGATATACAGAACAGGACCTGATAGAGGTACACAATAAATATTCACTGAGGAACAATAAACACGGGTATATGCAGACTGTCTCTAGAATAATACACAGAAAAAACTGTTTTTCCCCAGAAAGGGTCTCACCAGTGGAGTGATCATGACTTATTGTAGCCTGGAACTCCTGGGCTCACCTTAGCTGCCCAAAGTGCTGGAATTATATGCACTGGCCCACAAGAAACACAGCAGGCACCTCTAGGGGCCATATATCCTTTTGCACTGTTTAAATTTACCAAATGAAACTATTATGTTTTTGAACAAGTTAAATTTTTAAATATATGGACTTGGAAAAACACATATAGATAACATGAAGGGGTTAAGAAATAAAGCAACACATAGGTAAAAATCAATCTTGGGATCTGATCTCCAGAAACTACAGAAGCATACTGCCCCCCTTTCTCCCGTCTTCCCTAGTCTAACCAAAACCGGCCACACCCCACCTCCTGTTTCCTATAAGGAGATAAAACAAGATTATCTGTGTTCAGGCCACGGGCTGATTCCCACTACTTATAACATGCCCCTCTACCTCATTTAAGGTCAAGAGTTACATCCTCACCAGCAGAGGCCTCCATGGCTCCCTAGCTACTTCACTACAAATTCCTCTTCATCCCTTAACTCCTATAGCACTTCATCTATTCGGTGCTGTTTCATGCCTATGTGAGCTTGAATCACTTAATACTTTGTTCTGGTATACAGAAAGCTGTATCAAGACTTGGTGCCATGTGTCTGTAGTCCTAGCTACTCAGGAGGCTGAGGTAGGTGGAGTTGAGCTCAGAAGTTCAAGGCTGCAGTGAGCTATGATCATGCCACTGCACTCCAGCCTGGATGACAGAGCAAGACTGTTACCAAAAAGGTGGAGTGGGGAAATGGTATAAGAAAGAGTTAACTTTCTACCTTTTTGAAAGGAAACTTTCAAAAGTCCAAATTACTATTAGACATTAGCCTTCAAATTTACTTCCCCTAAGTTACTTCTGAATTGGCCTTAAATCTCATCATTCAAGTAGGAAGTTACTTCTTTACAAATAAGATCTACGGGTAACAGTGAACAGTATGTAAAACTCCAGACCAGATGCGGTGGTTCACACCTGCAATCCCAGGACTTTGGGAGTTGGAGGCCAGTCTGGGCAATATAGTGAGACTCCATCTCTTAAAAAAAAATATGAAAACAGCCAGGCAAGGTGGCTTGTATCTATAATTCCAGCACTTCTGGAGGACAAGATGGATGGATCACTTGAGCCCAAGAGTTTGAGACCTCAGCCTGGGTAACATGGCTAAACCGTGTCTCTAGAAAATAATACAAAAATTAGCCAACTGAACATGGTGGCTTGCACCTGTAGCCCCAGCTACTGGGGAGGCTGAGGTGGAATAATCACCTAAGCCCAGGAAGTCAAGGCTGCAGTGAGCTGTAATCGCCACCACTGCACTCCAACCTGGGTGTCAGAGTGAGATCCTGTCTCGAAAAACAAATAAATAGCCAGGTGCAGTGGTGTATGCCTGTAGTCCCAACTACTTATGCGGCTGAAAGGGGAGAATCACTTGAGCCCAAGAGTTGGATGTAGTGAGCTATGATGGTGCCACTGCACTCCAGGCTGAGTGACAGAGCAAGAACCTGATTTTAAAAACTAACTAAATAAATAAGGCACAACAGACCTGCCCAGAATGGCCTCTCTGTTCCTAGGAGTGCGACAGTTTTTGGGTTGGGGGACCTGCCTCAAACATACCACTGACCCTTTTGGGGTTCTTTTGCTGTCCAGCAACGGCTACCTTTGATGCCATCTCTAAGATTTAAAGTTACCTGACCCTTGACCTCTAGAAAGAGACTGTATTTACCAAGTCTCCCTATCAGGAATTCACTGACCACCTCATAAAGACCCACACCAGAGTCTCCATGCAGAGGACCCAGGCTCCAGCTGTGGCTACAACACAGGGTTTTTATACAAGAAAAATAAAGTGAATCAACCCTCAAAAATAAATAAATAAATAAAATACAACTTAAATTAGCTGAATAATTTTGATAACTTATTTATAAACCATGCATTTTAAAATACTTATTTTCTTACACTCATAGCAAATCTGCCTCTGCACAATTTTCACCTTACTCTTGGCATATAATAAAGCACAAAAGAAGTCTGAGGTGGTGCTAGCAGGTTATAATGAATGCATTATAAAGACATTTATCAGCCAAACAATCATTATGAGCAGGCACAAAACAGTTCTCAAGCCAAGAAATAAGTAGATATAATTCAACTGGGCCGGTTACAACGGCTCACGCCTGTAATCCAAGCACTCTGGGAGGCTGAGAAGGGCAGATCACCTGTGTCAAGAGTTCAAGACCAGCCTAGCCAACATGGTGAAACCCTATCTCTAACAAAAATACAAACATTAGCTAGGCATGGTGACAGGTGCCTGTAATCCCAGCCACTTGGGAGGCTGAGGAAGGAGAATCACTGGAGCCCAGGAGGCAGAGGTTGCGGTGAGCCAGGATGATGCCACAGCACTCCTGCCTGGGCAACAAGAGCAAAACTCCGTCTCAAAAAAAATGACTAATTCAACATACTTAATTATAATTTTACCTCATGATTCTGCAAAGATCAAATTCTGCAAAAGAAACAGTGATGATTACTGCAAACTTTCTACCATTTCTCAACCACCCAAGAAAGAATCTACACAGCACAGCTCTGGACATATCTTAACATTTGTACTACATCTGTTACTTTATTTTCATTTATTTTATTTATTTACTTATTTATTTTTTGAGCCAAGGTCTCGCTCTATCACCCAGGCTGGAGTGCAGTGGCACAATCTCAGCTCACTGCAACCTCTGCCTCCTGGGTTCAAGCGATTCTCCTGCCTTAGCCTCCTGAGTAGCTGGGACTACAGGCGCACGCCACCAGGCCAAGCTAATTTTTGTATTTTTTTGTAGAGACGGGGTCTCACCATGTTGGCCAAGCTGCTCTCAAACTCTTGGCCTCAGGTGATCTGCCTGCCTTGACCTCCCTAAGAGATGGGATTACAGGCATGAGCCACTGGACCTGGCCTGCATTTGTTACTTTAAAAACATAAAATACCTGCCAAGAGGAATTTTATTTTGGAAATGAAAAAAAAATTAAAAAAAAAAAACATAAAATACTAGACACTTTTGACAACAAACAGAAAATTCAAAAGATCATCTCACTTTCCAGGGGCTTGATAATAAATCAGAATGACAAAATAAATGACATTTAAAATGACAGATAACTGTAAACACAGAGGACCCAACAGATTAGAAGTTACTCCATTCCAAACACTTACCTTGTTGACATCCATATGCCTCAATTATATAATCCAGTTGAAACTTTGTT